GCCGGGAGCCCGATGTGGGACTCGATCCCAGGACCCTGGGATCATGACCTGAGCCGAAGGCAGACGCTTAACCATCTGAGCCACCCAGGCGCCCGATATGTGTATTTTTTAAATGATAGTCTAGATGCAGAGTTTTAATCGTACAGTTTCTACTTTTCTCTCTCTTTTTTTTTCTGTATTGTATGGTGGTCACAGTGTTCATCATGGCATAACTTATGGTGTAGCAGCAGCTTCCAGACTGGGCAGCAACATTCTTTTTTCCTAGATGTAGAACCCAGGAGATAAAATAGCTATTAGCCTAGGGGAGGTTTGAGTCTTCCTTGTCTGTGAAAAGACGGTACTTCCTTTCTTTCAGGAACCCTTGGAGAACTCAGAGCCCGTGCTAGAAGCCATGCTAGAAATCATTGCTGCAGTGCCGTTGGAAACAGTAGCAGTCAATTCATGTTACCTGGAGGAGCATGCCTTCAGTCTGTCTGCCCAGGCTCACTCCCACTGCCTGCTGGGCCCTTCCAGGGCCTTCTGCCAGCCTCTCAGATGGGACTTTTTCTGACTATTGCTGCCATATCTGCCTTGATGGAGGTGCCCCCTCCCTGCTCCGGCCCTTCAGGCCAGAACCCTTGGTGTTCTCCAGAACCCCTCTGCTCCCTCCACCCTCCAGGTGCCGAGTCCTATGAGTCTGTCCCCTGGAGTGTGTCCCTTCTGTCCACTGGCCCATCCAGGTTCCTGGCATCTCTTTGTTTAACACAGCATGTAATTCACATACCTTATAGTTCACCTGTGTGGGGTGTATAAGTCAGTGGTTTTCAGTGTATTCACAGAGTTGTGGAACTATCACCACAACCAATTTTAGAACATTTTCATCACCCTAGAAAGAAACCCTAGTCATTCCCCATTTGTCCCTCTCCTGCAGCCCACTATCTACTTTCTGTTTAGATAGATTTGCCTATTCTGGACATTGCATATAAATGGAATCAGACAATACGTGGCCTTTTGTGACTGGCTTCTTTCATTTAGCATCAAGGTTCATCCATGTTGTAGCATGTTTCAGTACTTTAGTCCATTTTATGACTGAAGAATAATTGTTTTTTTAAATATCAGTACATACAAGGATTTTTACCTAAGACATAAAAATAAAACAGCTTTTCAAAACTGACAAGAAGTTTTAGCATTGAACAATTTCTAAAGAACCAGGAAGGTTCTTCACCTAGAAGTTTTCACCTTGAAGCTGTTATGAATAATGCTCTATGAACATTCTTGAACCAGGTTTGGTGTGGACATATGTTTTCATTACTCTCGGGTAGATACCTAGGAGTGGGACTTCTGGGTCTTACGGTAACTCCGTGTTTAACATTTTGAGCAACTACCAGACCAGTTTCCACAGCGGCCTCACACTTTGCCTTCCTATCAGTAACGTACGAAGTTCTAATTTTTCTGTATCCTCACCAATCCTGTCTTTTTTTTGCAGACTTTAAACTGGTCTGTCTACCTATAATACTTTTTCCTTTATATTTCTAAAATTTTGTTTTCCCAACAACTCTCGGTGGCTCCCCTGTTGCCTACAGGATGATGTTCCCTGTTCCCTGGCCCGGCACTCTGCCATCCCCCACGCCCGTCTCTGCTCTAAGGTCTGGCCACGGGCTGTGTTGGCTTCTGCGTGTGTCCACATTTCCCCATCACACCACACACCCCCTACCTCTTTGTTTCACCACTCCCTACTGCAGTGCTGTCTATTTCCCAGGGCTTACCACAAGGGCTGCCTCCCTCACTGTCCTGGATCCTTTCAAGTGAATTGTTTTCCACCTATAGATGTTGCCTGGGTTTCTCTTTGTTCCATTCAGTTTTTGAAAAAAATAACTGTTAATAGGTCTCTTTCCTCTGCTGAGCAGTGAGCCCTGGGGGCAGGAGTTGGTCTCACTCTTCTGTCTCCCCGGTGCCTGGTGTCTGCCTGGCTAGGGCAGAAGCTCTGGCCATAGGACCTGGGTGACAGGTCACACAGCCGTCCTCAGGCAGTTGCTCACCGGCCTGTGTGCTTAGAGCTGGCTAGGCCCCTGGATTTGGGGACTGCTTTGTGATGGGCCCCTGGAACTGTGACGTTCCTGGCTTTTCCTGGACCCTTTTTCAGTCTCTCCTGTTTCCTGTCTAGGAGACTGTGGACCAGCACAGCCCCTGCCAGTGATGGGAAGTGGTGCTCAGTGGCAGCGCTGAAGCTCTCTGAGTATGGTAAGGACCGGTGCTTGCCTATTTTGCTGGTGTCAGTGTTCTTTTTTTTTTTTTTTTTTAAGATTTTATTTATTTATTTGATAGAAACACAGCGAGAGAGGGAACACAAGCAGGGGGAGTGGGAGAGGGAGAAGCAGGCTTCCCGCGGGGCAGGGAACCCGATGCAGGGCTGGAGCCCAGGACCCTGGGATCATGACCTGAGCCGAAGGCAGATGCTTAACGATGAGCCACCCAAGTGCCCCTGGTGTCAGTTGTTCTTTAGTCACTTCACTCCTGGGGGTGAGGGGCCTTTTCCTGGGTGACACTAAGTATGGGACAGCCTTCCTCCTGGGAGAGCTGTTGGTGCAGTTGAGGGTAGAGATGTTCGGCCTTCTGTTGGAGTGGTTTGCCGGGCCTCGTCACAGTTGCGAGAAAGGTACAAAGTTAACATGTTTTGTTGGTGTCTGTTATTCAATGTCTAGGTCTTCTGTTGTGTCTGGCATTGCGGAGGTGTTCCTTTTGCAGTGGACAGCACCCAGGACATGCTCCCCAAGTAGCTTGTTGTGGTCCCCCTGGACATGTTCTGGTCTTTGTTTTTCTCCTCGATGATCCTTTATTGTTCATTACATTCTGAGAAGGCCATAGCTGTTCGAGTTACAAGATTATGTGCTGGAGCAGAGTTGTATTCATTGTAGGTTGTTAAAGAGACAAGTGACATCTCAAAAGCAACTTTTTTCTTCCCTCAAATCCCTGTTTTTAGATTCGAATTGCAGCCTTAAATGCCAGCTCTACAGTTGAGGATGATCATGAAGGAAGCTTTAAAAGTCACAAAACGCAGACCAAGGAGGCCCAGGTATGTAATCCATGGTCTTCCTTCGCAGGTAGACCTTGCTTTTCATTTCTGTAGATGGTACCTCATTTTAAATGCATTCACAAGACTTAATGGGATTTTAGCTCTCCCTCCCATGTTACACCTTCACTTGGGGGTGATCACACCGAAGAGAAATTCTGTATTCTGTGAGCACTGTTTGGGCCGGTTCAGCCCCTGGGCCCACTTGTCCAGCGGGGCCTCACTTTCTGTGCAGCCCATTCTTTGTGCTCACTTCAGGAGTTGGCACACCCAAGGGATGGTAGCGTGTTAATGGTAGGCAGTGCTTTGAGGTTTCCTGGTGCATTGCTCTCATGTGCCAGTGTGAGGGGGCCCTTGATGGGAGCTGTCTTGAGGGGGTCTCACTGAGGGTCGGTGAGGGGCCAGGTTCAACTTCAGCTCTCTAGATTCTCGGTCTTTCCTCTCTTCCATGAGGCCTGGTATCACTTCCACTTCAGCCTGGCTCTCTTCTTCCCTCCACCCATCTCTCCACCCATCTCTGTACCCGTGTCCTGCCGTAGTATCGCAATGGTTTGCTTCTTTCTTGTCCCCATCTTTGTTTTCCCTGGAATAAACATGTGCCTCCCCTTTCACAGGAGAAACACAGGCAGTCTGGAGCCCTCTCAAAAGTCTACTAGTCAGCGGTCCCTGGTCCTCAAGGCATGTCACTGGGGCTCAGCCTGCCCAGTGCCTCTCCATCCTGGAGGAGGTTGTCACCCTCCCTGGGCAATGATCAGGCTAGGGCAGAGTGTCAGGTAGAAAGCAATGGAAACCATCCATATTGTCTAGGAATCTCTGGGTTATTCTGGCTGGTGCGGCCACTCTCCCAGCTTCACCCAGAAAAGGCCAGCTGAGTTCAAAACCTTGCCATTGCTCTGATCCTGTGTCCCTGGGCCAGTGTGTTTTTTGCTGTTGCTTAGACTCACGTGAGCCTATGTTGCTCGTGTCTCCTTGGGGGACTCTTGAGGGGTTCTTCTCCCAGTGATGAGCTCCTGGGAGGTTGGAGTGTTAGGACTGTTTCAATTACAGTTGTCAGTTAATATGGCCTTGACTGTAGCCTCCCCTTACACACTTTTGGCTTAAAAAAGGCAAACCTTTGTAATCTCCTGTCTTGGTTCACAGGAAGCAGAGGCTTTTGCCTTGTATCACAAAGCCCTGGATCTCCAGAAACATGACCGGTTTGAGGAGTCAGCCAAGGCCTACCATGAGCTCCTGGAGGCGCGCCTGCTGCGAGAGGTGAGGCACCACAGGCCAGGTGATGGACTTGCCCTCTGCCCTCCCCTTCTTGGCTGGGCGACCTTGGACATGTTACTTCCTCTCTCTGCCCCTCAGCTTTCCCACCTGTAGAGTGTCAGCCTCCTTGGGTTGCTGTGAGGGTTGAGTGAATCCAGTGAAGCATGTAGAGTGGTTCTCGGTATATAGTAAGAGCTCTGTGTCGGCTATTTTGTTACATTCTCTTTACAACTACTCTGCCGAGAAGGTGGGGGCCACTGTCCCCATTTTACCATTGTGATAGCTCAGAGCCACCCAACTAGTGAAGCATTAGAACCAGGATAGGAACCCATGGTTTCCTGATACTTAATGATCCTCATTGTTGGCAATGCATCTTGGCAAATGCCATTGAGGTGATAGCCCATGAACTCAGGAAGCCTGTGTAGGTGCTCAGAGAAAAGGCTGGAAGAGCAACACAGAGCCCATGGAGGGCATAGGGTAGGGGTATGGCAGAGAGGGGCAGGCAGGGCAGGACCCAGTGATCCAGCGTGGGGGCCATGCTAGTGGCAAGTGAGTTCAACCTGAGTTGGCTGGGTCCTGGAGATGTTGCCTGGAGGTTTGAGAATGAGTCTCAACTTGAAATTGATTTAGGAAGAATTATGTTTGATTAGGAGGAAAGGCTTTTGTTTTTAAGTACCCACACACACAGACATGCAATAAGGAAGCAGACAGACTCCATCCATGGGCATTTTCTGGAATGCGGTCCTTCAGTTGAGCAGTCTCCTACACCTCTAGGAAGGCAGACACTTATGTCTGAAGCCCCCACCCCTGGACAGTTTTTACCACGGATGAGACAGAATGCTAACTGAGTTCTCCTTGTCGGTTACAGGAGTCCATCCCTTCCCTCACTCGTGGATGTCAGGATTCTCTGGTGCTGGTGATAGTGTCTTGGAATTAGGACTGTGGGAATTGTGACCCGCCCCTCCCCCATTAGTAGGAAGTGAGTGAGGGCCCAGAGACGAAAAAGACTTTATTCCACTTTACTGAGCTCCAGCCATAGGCCAGGGGCTGGGTGTGTTTCAGGAGGAGGGGGTGTTCCCTCACACCATGGTGGAGCGGGCCTCAGAGGTGTGAGTGGGTGAGCAGAGCAAAGTTGGAAGGATGCTGGTCGGCTTTGTAGTCGTAGGTGTGTCCACCTCTCTCTCTGTCACTCTCAGCCTTGAAAGACTGCTGTGGCACTCTCCCCCTTGGCTTGTACAGGTAAAACATGGTCATCGTAAACAGTTGAAAAGTACAGAAAATGTACAGAAAAGTTTATTTTCACATTCATCTGCACTGGTATACTTACTATTAAACTAAATTGTGTAGTTCTAGTCTCACAAACACTTGGCATAAACAGGCCCTGGAACACAGCTGACTCCTAAGAAGTGGATAGCTTCATTGGGGAGGCTTGTTGGGGTGAGCCCTTCATCTTCCGTGGGCGTCAGCGTGTCTGTCTCAGAGGGTGGAGAACGGTGCTGAAACCAGCTGGTGGGGTGGGGGTTAGTTATGAGAGCTTCTGCTGTCATGTGCGGAGGCACGCTGACTAGTCTCCGAGGTAGACTCACGCAGCCTCTATTGAAGGGATCACACCAGATTTTGAACAGTTCTGTACTTGGAGTGGCGAAGGTACCTGGTGTCCAGCTGTGGTCAGCCTGTTGTTGGGGATCTTTCAGCAGTATAAGCCAGATGACAGGAATGAGGAATAAGGAATAAGGAATAAGGAATGAGGTTTGATTTGAGCTTTTTAGTCTTCTTGTTGGGATTCCGTAAGAGTGCTAGGGTAGATTTCTTGGATTAGTCAAGGGGTGCTTCCTAAAGGTTGCATGTCCTCAGGTCTTATCTGTTCTTTTTTTTTTTTTTTTAAGATTTTATTTATTTATTTGACAGAGAGAGACACAGCGAGAGAGGGAACACAAGCCGGGGAGTGGGAGAGGGAGAAGCAGGCTTCCCGATGCGGGGCTCGATCCCAGGACCCTGGGATCATGACCTGAGCCGAAGACAGACGCTTAACAACTGAGCCACCCAGGCGCCCCAGGTCTTATCTGTTCTGATCATGAAGAAGAATGTCATGTGAATGTGACCTGTCCCAGGACAAGGCTGAGATACGGACCCGCCCCTGGAAAGAATTTCTTTGTGCCGCCGAGTTTTTCTGTTAGAAAATGTTTTACTTTGTCCCATGGTTAGAGCAGTAGTTTTTCTCATTGGTGGTGTCTTAGAAGTGGTAGGGTTTTCTGAGAGTTTTCATAAAAGCTGTAGTGAAATAACTTTTTATATGAAGCATGTTATTTATTTATTTGACAGAGAGAGAGACAGTGAGAGAGGGAACACAAACAGGGGGAGTGGGAGAAGGAGAAGCAGGCTCCCTGCTGAGCAGGGATCCTGATGCGGGGCTCGATCCCAGGACCCTGGGATCATGACCTGAGCTGAAGGCAGACACTTAACGCCTGAGCCACCCAGGCGCCCCTGGCTCACACTTTTGATATTTAGGGTAGGATTTACTGTCCTTGTAATACAGATGTCGTCAGGGCACTAACTTCTTAAAGTAACTTGTCCACAGTTACGTGATGAGTTACAGAGTTGGGAGCTCAGCCTCCTGATTCCTAATCTGATGCTCTTCTTGCTGTGGGATGTGTAGGGATGTGTAAGTTGGCTGCCTGGCCACCTCCAGACCCTGCCGCTGCCCCCAGGTGGCCTCCTCCTGTCCTGTCCTCCCTCTTAAGGCCTGCTGCCGGGGAGCTGCAGGCTCCAGGCTTGACCTTTCAGGCATGGCCGTAGTGATGGGGAGGGTTCCCTCTGTCTCTTTTGGTGCCGAGACTATCTGCAAACTGCCTCGTGGTGATCTAGCTTTCCTTCTCTGTCTGCTCGGAGCTGGAGGCGTCCCCCAAGAACATCTAGTGTAGAGCTTTCATTTTCCAATGGAGGGTGGCACTGGACTGGGCCAAGGGCCTCCGCAGCAGAGGCCAGCTGGGAAGCCAGGTGTCCTGCTGACTGCCTGCTGAGGCTTCAGGGCCTAGGTGTCACTCTTGACCTCTGTTTTTGTTCACAGGCAGTTTCGTCTGGTGATGAGAAAGAAGGGTTGAAGCACCCTGGGCTGATGCTGAAATATTCCACATATAAGAACTTGGCCCAGCTGGCAGCCCAGCGAGAGGACCTGGAGACCGCGATGGAATTCTACTTGGAGGTGTGGTTTTGGCAATGTTTATTAGCCTCTTGGGGTTTTTGAAAGCTCTTGGTGGAAGGGGTGAGGTTGTGGTCTTCTTGGCTAAGAAGAATCTGTAGTGGTGCATCACCAAGCTGTGGTCCCTGAGACCCTTATCAGCTGACAGCAGTGCGTTCAGAGAGAGCAGGGGCCTGCATGTGCGTTGGTCTTCTGCCACTCAGGGCACGTGTGGCCGCAGCTAGTTGCTGACTCTCTCTGGGTCTCCAGGTCTACACCAGTATAGTGGGCATGGTAAGAAAGAGGGTGGTTGTGAAAACCGAATGAATTGGTACTAAGAACACAGCCTGACCTCTGGCACCCTGTACCTGCTCATAACAATATTGCCATGATCTCTATGTTACCATCACTGTCTCTGTGGGCACCTCTGTGGTGCCAGACACCACGCGGACTCCTTTCCACACATGCGCTAACCGTACGTCATCTTGCAGGGAAGGTGTCTTTATCTTCATTTTCATGGTGGGGGGACTGAGGCTCGGGGTCATGCTGCCAGTCAGTATAGGAGCAGGGATGTGAACTGAGGTCTGTCTCCAGAGCCCATAATCTTCTTAGAATCCCATAATTTAAAATTAAATAAATTTTTTTTTAAAAGATTTTATTTATTTGACAGAGAGAGACACAGCGAGAGCAGGAACACAAGCAGGGGAAGTGGGAGAGGGAGAAGCAGGCTTCCCGCGGAGCAGAGAGCCCGATGCGGGGCTCGATCCCAGGACACTGGGATCATGACCTGAGCCGAAGGCAGACGCTTAACGACTGAGCCACCCAGGCGCCCCTAAATAAAAATTTTGAATCCCACAAAAATACCCTACAAATCCCATTTGCTTTTAATGGTATTTTCACTTCCTTTATCAAATATGTAAGGAGTACAGATGTTTAGAGTGACAAACTATGTCAAGATGTTCTGAATTCGATAAATTGGTTCATGTAACTTGTGTTTGCCATTTTTCTGGGTGGTTTGGGTGGCTAGGTTGGTGCTCTGCCCCTTGCATCACCATGGGCACCCGCTCAGCAAGAGAGCCGACTGAACGTGTGCGCTCTCTGTGCTGCTTCCAGGCAGTCATGCTGGACTCCACCGATGTCAACCTCTGGTATAAAATTGGACATGTGGCCCTGAGGCTTATCCGGGTCCCCCTGGCTCGCCATGCTTTTGAGGAAGGGCTGCGGTGCAATCCTGACCACTGGCCCTGCTTGGACAACCTCATCACTGTCCTGTACACCCTCAGCGATTACACAAGTGAGTCAGGCTTTGATGGCTTTCTCCCATGCGCTCGTGTTTTGCGGACAGAGGAGGGAGGGCAGCTTGGGTAAGTTGGAGGCCAGGTTAGCACTGAAGTGCTTTCTGCCTGTCAGGAAGGGAGATGGCTTTGCATTCCTGCTTTATCGCATGTGTCTTTCTCACTCAGTTGAGCTTTCTTGAGTGCATTGTGGTGATAGGTAGCATGCTCTCTGAGTGGTTTTCCCTTCGCTTATTTCATTTCATCCCTGCATTGTGCCATCCTGCGCCAGAACCTGTTTCTATAACTTGCTGACAGATGGCCTAGCAGTTGCAGCTTGACTCCTTCTGGTGCTGGGGACCTCACTACCTCTTAGGGTCCATTCCTTTGTAAAGCAGCAGGGCTACTAGAATGGTCTCTGCCAGATGGAGCCCCAGTCTGCCCTCCAGTTGCTCAAGCTCCTTGGCTCCAGCCTTTCTGTCTGCTCTGCAGAGAATTCCTTTGTCCCTTGCATGGGCTGGTCCTGAAGCAGGCACTGATTAGGTGTTCTAGGAGTCAGCCTCCTCTGGGTGTCCTCTGAGGCCAGAGAGGAAGGAGGCTCTCCAGGAGTGCTCGGAGCAGGACTGAGGACAGTGGGAGCCCAGGGCTCTGTCCACTATGTATGCTGCAGGTTGGTCCAGTGTGTGAAGGTGCACTGTACCTGGCTGGGCCCAGTTACTCTTTTTAGGACAGACATGCCCATGAGCACTTGCTATCATTTTAAAGGTTTAGGCCTGGAAGACTGACTGGCAGAGGCTTTTTCCTTCCCTTCCCTTTTTTAAAGACAAATAGTGTGGAGTGTTTAGAGAGGCACTAGGCCCTGCTCACACTTCCCCACCTCTGGTTCTCCACAACTACTTTTTAATTGAGGGAGCACACACACACACAGTAGAGTGCACAATATGTATATGTGAAACATGTCCAAGATGCAGAACATTTCTAGAGCCCCAGAAGGCAGGCTGCTTTTGCTCCCGTTCCAATCATTCCCACCCAGGAGGTGATCTTGATTTCTCCCTTTTGTCACCAGAGAGGAGCTCTGCTTGTTGTCGAGGCTCCTCTAGGTGGCATCAGGTGGCAGCGTGTACTCTTCTCACCTGGCTCCCTGGGCTGTGGTCTTCCCATCTGTGAGGGCACCCGGGCCATCACTCGGGCCTCTTTATTGCCATGTTGTCTGTTATGCGTGTCTGCACAATTGGACCATTCTGTGCTTGCACATCGGGTCGTTTGCAGAGTCGAGTCCGTGCCTAACACTGCTGTGAATGCTCCGTGTGTGTCCTTCAGCGGACACGGCACTTGTTCTGCTTGCCCCAGTTTTCACGCCCACCAGCACAATGTGATAGCGCTTGTGAGGTGCCCTTTGGACTCTCACAGCTCCTTCTTCGAGAGGTGTTTAGGCTCCTCTTGGAAGCTTTTCTGGCAGCTTGGGGGCCACCTGAAGTGGACAGTCTTGTGTTCTGCCTTTCTTTCCCCAGCCACTGGGTTTAGTTCTTTGTACCCCTCTCTCGTGGTAGGAGAAGTTGTACTTGGTAAACTTAAGTCCTTGGGGGCAAACAGGCCTGGGGGGCTGAATGGCTGCTCTGTCTGGGGGAGCCCCGCCCTGAAAGACCTGACACCATTTATTGATTTCAGTGTGTGTGTGTGTGTGTGTGTGTAACTATAGACCCCACGCCCAGTGTGGAGCCCAAACCAAGGCTTGAACTCACGACACAGATCAAGACCTGAGCCAAAAAGTCAAGACTCAAGACACTTAACTGACTGAGCCACCCAGGCGTCCCAGACCTGACACTCATTTAAACCCCAAAGTAAAAGCAGCATGTTAAATCGACTCCCAGTGGCTTTTATTCACTTGCGATGAGTAGGCAGTGGTGCTTGGGGTTGATGCCTGCTGACCACCTCTTGTTCCTCTGGAGCTTCCCAGGCCCTGCGTCTGTGGGAGCGCCACTGTAGTACAGCTAGTGCGGTGAGCTCTACCGCCGCCGAAACGCCTGCTGGGAGCCGGCATCTCCAGGTGCTCCGGGCCTCCCTGGGTTTCTCTCTGGGCGTCTCTGATGGCCACTGTCATGTCCCGCTGTGGTCCCAGAGAAACCGTGTTCTTGTTTGTGTGGGGCAGGAGCCTCTGGGTCGTCTGTGCAGCTGTTCGGTCAGCAGCTTGCTGGGCTCTGCCGGGACCACCCAGACCCTCCCTGTGCATAGGTTGCACAGCCTTCATGTGCCTTGCGGGGGACAGCGTCGTACTGTGGAGCTTTGTGATGGGTTTCTGCTCTCTCCTTCTATGGCACTCTAGGAGGACACTACTTCCTTCTGTCTCTCAAAGCTTCCATGCCCACATCTCTGCTTCTGCTCTCCCTTTCCTTCCTCCTCACCCCTGGCTCCTTCTTTGTCTGGTTATTCTTGACAGCAGTGGCTTGCAATCCATCTACACTCAGACTCTGAAGCTGCGCAGGGCATGGTAGTGGTCCCAGTGCCCAGTCGGAGCAGAGCTGGTACTTGGCTGCACTGTATTGGTTTTCCCTGTGTATTCACAGGTGAGGCCTGATGGCACCGGGCCTGCTGGAGACTTATTTATGGCAGTTACGTCTGTCAGGGGCTATTCCCACTTATAAATACCAAAGACTTTCCTAGTTCACATCGCAGCTCTGCTTCGTGACTCCTTGCCATCCCGGTTTTTCTCTTGTGTTGCTTTGCCTGTGACTGTCTCCACTCCTGGAGGAGCTAGAGAAGGATAGGCTTTCCAGATCATTGATTTGAGAAGGCTTGTTGACATGAATGATGTACATGCCTTTAATTGCAGGCAATAACTTTTTTGGTAAGAACAGTTAAAAAAAAAAAAAAGAGAAGGAGGAAAATTGGAAAATGCAGATAAGCAAAAGGAGCAGAAACCAGTTTTATGTGTACAAATGGAGTCACACCATGTGGCTGGTTTGTTTCCTGCCTTTTTCCCAGGCTGTCTTGTGGCCTTCCTTCTGGTCAGCGAAGACACCCCTCAACCATTGGTACAGCAGCTCCTCAGCAACCCAGTGTGTGGATTGGGGACGCTTTCCTTAACCAGGCGCCCCTAGTGGTGCTGAGTGCTTTCCTGATTTTTTGAAGGCTCTTTTCCAATTAGCCAATAGCCAATCACTGTGGGCCTGTAGGTTTTTGCAGCAATTCCTAGAAGTGGATTGTTGGGCTAAGGGTCTGTGTGTAATACCCGCGGCTCTCTGTTAAGGTCATCATACAGTCTGTCCTTGCCCATCAGCATTTGGCTTTGCCTCATCTGCTGTGAGTAGGGGTATTTTCAGCATCCCGTTATTGTTTGCCAACATTTCTTTGATTCCGGAGTAGGGACGTTTTCTTGGTGTTAACTGGCAAGGCCAGAGGTTGGGATGCACACTCAGATATCATATCATTTCTTTCCTTACCAGCATGTCTGTACTTCATCTGCAAAGCTTTGGAGAAGGACTGCCGGTACAGCAAAGGACTGGTTCTCAAGGAAAAGATCTTTGAAGAACAGCCTTGTCTCCGGAAGGACTCCCTCCGAATGTTCCTTAAATGGTGGGTTCTGCCTCTTCCTGTGCTGGTTCTGCACTCCCCTCTCCCCCAACAGTGTGTGGCTGGTGGATGGCAGGAGGCGTGTGCACCTCCTTCTCTCAGGTCCTGACTCCCTGGCAGTTGAGCCCCTGCACTTCATCCCCCACTGCACCCCCTCACCTGGCTTTGATCCTGCTTTACCTATTACTCGCCTGTGTGCCTAATCATGGCGGTGCCTCCTTGGCTCTCTGCTGCCCGCCTTTCCCACTGCCCTGCTGGCTCTTGGCATTCACCAGCTCTCCTCTGGGTGCTTGTGGTAGCCTGCTGTATACCTTATCTGCCCGCTACCCACCGTTTCCCTTTCCAGGGCTTTGCTCCCAGGTGCTTCCCAAGTTCACTGTCCTAGATATGACCTTGACACCCTGCCTTGCCTCCAGGACAAAGCTCATGCTCAGAGCATCACCCAGGAGGTCCTTTACAGTCTGACCCCCTTAGTTCTTCTCCTTGCCTCCTATTTCTCCCTGCCCCAGGAGAAGACTGCCCTAGGTCCCTGACAGATTCCAGGCCTGGCCCAGTTGTGCCCTATCCTGTCCCTGTGCCCTGGCTCCCTCATGCCTTCACCTGGAAGGCCAACTTCCCACCTCTCCACCTGTCATGCCATTGCTCCTTCTTCATGTTCCAGCTCCCAGGTCACCTCTGGGCAGCTTTCCAAACTCTGGCTGCCTCCCTCCCTCGACCCTCCCAATGAACCAGGGTCCTTGGCCCCTGCAACTCAGCTGGTGAGGGGTTAGTGGTTATTTATCTCTGTGTCTATCCCTCATAAGACTGTATTTCTTGTTCATATCTGTCCTGATGGTACTAACCATCTTAAGAGAGAGAGATAAAAGGGAAAAGTAAATCTGTAAGCAAATGGCTTTGTGGTAGAGCCCTGCTGAGAGGCGTCAGGACAGCCGGGCAGGAGAGCCTGCAGGTATTGCCGGGCCTGCCTCAGGTGGACGTGTGTCTGTGTGAGGGCACCTGAGGCCTCACAGACCCTGCCCTTTCTGTAGTTTGGCTATACCAGGGACTTTGGTGAGCTTCGGTAGTCTGATGACTTTTGGGCTGGGCAGGATGGGAAAGTTACATTCTTTTACAGTTCTCTGTAAATAATTGAGAACAAGGTTTTATTTTTCTGTGGCTTTTAGGACATTACTGTGATATTGTTAATACATATGAAAACCCTTTGCTCAATTTTGAATTGTAGAGGGAACAAAGGGTATTAGTCACTTGTATTGTATGTGGGTATTAAGAATGCTAATTACTGCCCTTAGAGGCCAGACTCAAGGGGTTATTTTATTTGTAGGAAGAATTAATACAGATTAAAGGGTATTAACTTAACTGCATCCCTGTCTGTAAAATTTCAGCCTCTGCTCTAGTTTGTAACATTGTAATTTCTCTCTGTCTTACATGCTTTAGTGACATGTCAATCCATGATGTGTCGGTGAGCGCAGCTGAGACGCAGGCCATTGTAGAGGAGGCCCTGGGGCTGCGGAAGAAGCGACAAGCACTGACCATGCGGGAGAAGGAGCCAGACCTGAAACTGGTGCAGCCCATCCCCTTCTTCACGTAGGTCATCCGGGTCTGTGGGGGTGCTGGGTCAGCTGGTGGGCCCTGCGCAGGAGGGAGAGGCCCCGAGGCCTACCCCTGCGCTGATGGTGTGAGTGGGGGTCGGGTGCATGCTAGACAGACACCTAGAGGCGTGCACGCACTTATTGGCCGCCAAGAGGCAGGCCAGGCCTCTCCCAAGTACGCCCAGTTGAAGTCTCTCTTTGCTCTTGCCGTTCTTGATGACAGCCACCTGCCACATCCCTGCAAGCCCCCTCTCAGTCTGCCCTTCCCAGAGGGGAAAAGGAAAGTAACGTTTGCCGTACACTGGACCGGTGGGAACGGGGTTCAGAGCAGTCAGATGGTGAATGGAGAGTCTGGAGTTGATCCCAGGTGTGGTTTCCATGGCTCTTGAGCGCCTGCTGTCCCTCTGGGGCCACGCGGGATGCCCTGGAGAATGGGCCTCCTCATAGCCCTTGTGAGTCCAACAGTGTGTGAGAGGCCCCCCAGGGAAGGGAAAACGGGTATTGGCAGCCTCCCAGAGTTGGGGTCATTCAGCCCCTTAGTGAGATCTGGTGTGTAGTTTTTGTTTTTTAAAATTCTGACTTTGAATCTTGAATCTTTAAATTTAGCATGCCTTGACAGCAGTGTTCTCATACTCAGAGGTGTTGTCCCATAGTGGTCTGGGGCTCCCACCATGGATCAGACAGGCCTGGGGCCAGTCCTGGCACCCCTAAGTGGGTGACCCTGGGATGCTACTCGCCACTCCTAAAAGCAGGGAGAGCAACCATCTCTTACAGAGTTGTTGTGATAGTGAAATAGAACCGCTGGGGGCCAGCACAGAACCAGCGTTTCTGCACACACTCAAGAGGGGCTGGCATTTGATCCATGGTACAACTGCCTGTGTGTTTCCACATGTTGAGTGTCCCAGGAATGTCTCCCGCCCGGACCCTGACATGGTCAGGAAGTTGGGGCTACTCTCAGACTCTTGTTAGTTGCCCTTCCCGTTATTTGGTCAGCTGGGTCAGGAGCCCCATCCTGTCTGAGTGTGGGCTCCCTAGCTGGGACGTTGGGAGTTTGGGAAGAGCCCTGAGTGCCTCCCTTTACAGTGAAGGAGAGGAAGGCCTGAGAATGCTGGAGAGGGCTGGAGAGGGTCCTGGCAATAGGACTAGAGAAGCTGTGAACTGGTGTCACGGCCACCCTCATGCAGGGGGAAGGCCAGAGGGAAGCATGAAGGAGATGGGCTTGGCTGGAGTGAAGTCTGGGATTGGGTTACTAGAGGAAGAGCGCGGAGTCCCTCTCTGGGAGGGAAGGGGTCGGGCTTTTAAAATAACCACACTCTATCGTAGGGCTCGGCACACTTCTCCCGCAAATGACCAGGTGGTAAATGCTTTAGGCTTTGTGGGCCAGGTACCATCTCTGTTGTATATTCTCCTCAGGGTGTGTGTGTGTGTGTGTGTGTGTAACAACCCTTTAGCTGGCTCTTAGCTTGTGGGCTGTATAAAACAGGCTGTGGGCCACGGTTTGCCACCCCTTGGTCTAGTCAGTGCCTACTAGACAAGGCACGAGTAAATGAAATTGTGTACTTAAGGCATTAGACATAACCCAGCTGTGAGCAAATTCTTCCCGTGTGCATGTAGCCTTTACTGAAGACAGGGAAAGAACATGTAGGAGATCCCTTCCAGTCTCAGGAGCCTCCATTTGGTTAGATTCTGGATTTTAGAACACCTTCCGTTTTCATTCTTTCCTCAGCATTTACTGGATGCCAGCTTCATGCCAGGCACTGTGCCCTGTACTGCCGACTCAGCATGGTGGGCACGTCCCTCTCTGGGGATGATCTGAGGGGTAGTCAGTCACCCAGAAGAAAAGGCACATGCCCCAAGCTGATGAGCCCTTTGAGGAGAGGAGCACAGCGCCTTGGGGGGAGCTTGTAATGGGGTCGGCACTGCTTTGGGGGTCAGGGAAGGCTTAGGTACTGGAGCTAGAGTCTGACAGAGGAGTGATATTGACCAGGCAGAGAGGCTGGGATGGGGGTGAGGGCCTCGTTTTGGGGCAGAGAGAAGCTTGTGCAAAGGTCCTATGGTATGCAGGGGTCTGATTTTGTTTGCAGAACTGAAAGAAAGCTATCATGGTGGGAGGGTCGGGGTGAGGGTGGGGTGTGAGATGAGGCTGGGTCAGTTGGCTAGGTCAGGCCATGCAGCACCATGAGGCTGAGGGTGTAGTTTTTAGCCTGAGAGCATGGGAAGACATTCAGAGATGGGTGGATGGATATATCATACCACACCATATCATACCACAGCACAACATATAACACAACATAAAATGGGAAACAAGAGACACTCTACAACATAACACACCGCACCACAATAAAACACACACGTGACACAACACATACCACGCGGCATACAACATAGCGTGCAGTAAAACACACAATGGACTTGGTGATGATTGAAAAATTCAGCTTTGTAGGGAAGGAGCTTTTGAAGTGTGTCAGTGGTTTTCATGCCCGCCTGGTGGAGTCTGAAGGTGCCTGGGCCAGGGTGAGGCTTGTGCTCCTGCTTGGTCTGTTCAACCTAAGTGGTGTTAGACTCAGGATTTTGTCCATACCCATGACAACAAAACCAGGAGCGCTCCTGCCTGCCCTCATGGAGATGGCAGCCGTGGGGCCGTTGCCGCTGCCTCTTCGCAGGCCAGCTGGCCCTGTGCTTGGAGCACCCAATGCTGGGTGCTGACCAGGTGCGGTGACCCTCTCTTTGCAGCTGGAAGTGCCTGGGAGAGAGTTTGCTGGCCATGTACAACCACCTCACCACCTGTGAGCCCTTGCGGCCCAGCCTTGGCAAGAGGATTGACCTGTCCGACTACCGGGACCCCAGCCAGCCTCTGGTGTCTTCTGTGGTGGTGGCCCCTGTCAGCGTGATCCAGCCAAGCCCCGTCCCCGCCAACCCGGCCGTGGCTGTGGCAGAATCTGTGCTCTCCTATGCCCCCGTGGCTGCGGCCAGCTTCCCGCTGCACAGTCCCAGCCTGCTGGAGACCGGCGTCCCTGCAGGTGAGGAGCCCTCCTGGGGTCAGCTCTGGGGGAGGCCTCCCCGGAGGGATGCGTCTTGCTGCAGCTTCTGGCCCAAGGTTTAAGTGGGGGCCCCCCAGCTCTGCAGGGGAGGCTGAGCCTACGCCCGGGGCTGCGGCTGGTCAGGGGCCGCTTCAGCAGTGAGGCCCCTGAGGGGAGTGGGTCAGAGCTCAGAACCACAGCTTCTTGGGACTGCTAAACTCCTGGCTGCGAAGTCCTGGCGGAAGGGTGGCCCTTTTCACTGGGAACGTGGGAGCTGGCGGGGCCCTCTGCTGGTCCTGCTGTGCTGTGCGCTGACGCTGAGTTGTTTGACCTTAAGAAAGCCGGCAAAGTGGACCACTATATGTGGTAGTATATTTTTTAGTGGTTTTATTGATTTTTACTATCAATCAAATTGTAAAAAATTTCAGACAGCAGTTCCCAAGCCTTTTCTTGATTTCTGTGTCCCTGAAAAAAAGGCTACCTGGCCGTTAAACGAGTTTCTGAATGAACATATACGTGGTTGTTCTAACTTTTTTGCTTGATCATATGTGACACTCCTCTGCTCTCTGTGTAATTCTCATGATTCTCTTGCTCACGTCCTGTCAGTGGGTGCTCAGAAGGTCCTGGGTGGTGGGCAGAGTCAGTGTCGCTGCCACTGGCTTGGTTGTGTCCCAAGTACACGCACCGAGGCCCCAGAGGCTCTCACGGCCAGCCGGTGGGGGGTTGGGGGGAGGGACTGCTGGAGCCCCTGGTGTTCTGTAACCGTGGAGAGTAATCTTCACATCTGGCTTATGGGTTCTGGGAATTTGAAGTGATTTGAGTTTGAAATTAACTTTACTCAGGACTCTTTTTTTTTTTAAAGATTTTATTTATTTATTT